TGTGTATACCCACTTGGTTTTATAGGCCATAAACGGGCTTTACGACCGTCAGGGTAATACCATCCGGCTAAAAGGGTTTGGGCGCTCCACCGACGTATACGTATAGCGGTGGGCTAATTAAAAAGGTCTGCTCCACGGACGTCTGTGAGTCTTGTCAGTCGTTAAAATGCTGGACATTCAGAGCTTTTTTATGTGAGAAGGTGGCAAGCGAACTGGCGGTTCACCTGACGTTAAGTGATAACCGCCACCCATGGACATTTGCAACACCCGTAGATTTGCAGATTGTTTGCAGAGAAACTGGGCCCCGGCTACCTCATTTACCAGACGAATTTCCTGTGAAGTCGTGGTACTTACGCAGACGATCCTGCCCATTCGTGCATTAGTCGAAGCTGTTGCGTGGCCCTACCACAGTATGCGTACGCAGAGTTTGTATCCGATATAAGGTAGCTTTCGGTGGAATGTAGCACTCAAAAATTGTTCGATACCTCATTGATGTACGACCTTTCAGCACTGAGACGCTTTTAACACTCATAACTAATGTCATTCTTGGTATGATTGAAGTGTTTTAGTATTGTTTGAAGTGGTTCTGCTGAGTGTGCTAAGAGACGGAGACGAAGAGAGATGGAGATTTGAATTGAAAGATAATAATAACTGGTTCCCACATTGTGATTAAAATGAAACAGTTGATATAATGATAAGAGGTGTGAAGATGTTTTAGTTTAACTTCATTAGCGTACTATCCGAGTTGATACGTAGCCACATTTCGCAGGAGACGGTGCGCTTTTCGAGACAATGTCAGGGTCTTGTGGTTTGATTCTCCGTTAGCTGCATATGATGCAATGGCAGCGTAGGAGACGTTTCGTGGGTTTGTGATGATTGTGTTTGAGCACTCTATTGTCTCTGCCTACCCTGTGTGAACAAGTCATGACTTGTATGTAATCTCGTGCTTATGTGATGGTTTTTAGGTTAGCGAGTTTGGTTTATCGCTTTGCAGGTGATCAAAACAATGGCACACTATAGTGCAGCCAGCGTAAGCTTCTCTGTACAACAGACGATGAACAATTGTTTAAAGATTTTTATTAACTTGTATGTACAGTAGACTGTTCTCCTAATCCTTCGATTCGTCGAATTTTCAATGTGTAATATAACTAAAGTTCTGTCGTATAATGCGAATAAATTTATTCATATGTAGTTGTAGTGAAGTATCGGGCGTTTTATTTATAGTACGGAGCCTGAAAGCAAAAAGTCGAAAAGTGTAAATTGCTTTTCTGTTTTGGGAGACAAAGTAAAAAGAAAACTTTGTGAAAAAATTATTCGTCAAACCAACCTACTCGTCCGCCCTATGAATTCGGTCGATTTGCGCGGGAAACACTCGTTGGAACAAAATGGTTTGCTTGTTTAGACGCGTCAGCCTGTTTTTGGTACTTATTCCGCATTTGATTTCCCTTGCGCTATTCATATCTACGCTAGCGCCGCTAGCGCGAGCTGCTCGTTTCACTACATCTTTACTTAGGAAACGGGGTGGATAACTTTACTATTGTTTATAGTTCATTTTAGAAATAAAACAGTAATGTATTTTAACAATTGTAAACTGAATTACGCGATGAGAATCAAGAATGCAACCTGCTTTGCAAACACTAATGTTTCAATGTATGACACAAAAATTTATGACCCTTCCACTTCTCGTCGGTCTTCGGTAAGATCGTGGTTTTTATCCCGACGGACCTGCCCATTCGTGCAACTGGTTCGTGGTCCTACCACGGTTTTAAAACATTCCCTTTTGTTTAAAACATATTCATGTATCATAATGTATTGATTGCTTTTTGATTTTGCGACATATTGCTGTAATTATCGCAACTCAATTGGATTAATTAATTATTTATTGTAAAGTAATTAGTTTACAGATACACAATCGGTGTCCCTGCTCCCAAGTCCATCAGAAGTGGCTAATGCAGAACGATCGCATGAAATTCGATTGCGTTTGTAATGGAATTTACTGCTCTTTGAACTTGTATTCAATAGTAACAGTTAGAGATCATCATTTTTTTTTTTTGATAATTACATGTGTATGCATGTGTATAATACAATGTGACATACACAGGCCATTACATTGATGAAGTATACTATACTTTTCGCTATCACAGAAATAATTTATTACACACTCGATGATTTACTGTACAGAATTTATTGGTATATGTGTGGATAGTCATGCTGGTTGGTTACTAAGGTGTGGTGATGTAAGGTGGTGGTAAACCAACAATTAACCTTATCAATAACAAAAAAAAGCAATAGGTCAAACATAGATGGAGATATTTAAATGTGATTTTGTGTGTTCTGAGGTTTTAACCACTGCTATCTACTTGCTTGGCGTTTTTAGCAACTCTTGGGGCCAAGTAAAAATGCAATAAGTTATAATTTCGCATAGATTTTCGTGTAGATTTTTAACTTTAAAAAATATGTTTATATCATGTTTCATTACCGATATGTTTCATTCAATGGCGGCACAGACCACATTTACGCATTTATATCGTCGCCATTGCGTTTTAAAATACATTGTCATCGCGTGTAACAGCTCAGCGAGCCACAGAATATTCATGGCATTATGTGCTTATTTATAATTTAATAGGCTTCATGGATTATGTTATATGATGTTGAAAGTAATTAACAACTGTTGAGTTGAAACCTTACATTCAGTGTTTCAAAGGCGTTTTTATTTTTTTATGTGTTTATTCTTGCGTTTGCTATAAGTAAAAGTTGAATAGGCTTTTTATTTTTATAATGTCATTGGCCACAACTAAAAATAAAAAGTAAGAGAAAAAAATGTAACATGTAAAATGTAGCTCGTAAATATAGTAAAAATACAGATTTATGTAAGAAAAAAAACTACCATTTTTATTTAAACGAAACGTCATAACTACATAAGGAAATAAAATTTTTAAATTATTGTGTGTTACATGACCTTAGCTAGAACTACAAAGTCGTCATTCAGTGTATGATAATAATAAATTCTTATATAAAATCTTAACAGCTTTTTTTAAATGTTAACCAAAACTATGACGGGTTTATATATGATGTTAAATTTATTTTGATGAATTCTCTACAGATTGGGAATGTTTTGCTAACGCACTAACCTCGAATCAATTTCTTGTTACAACCAATTACCTAGCCATATTGGTCATCAAAATTCTAAATAGAATGAACAATGTAGCACGTTTGTGGTGTCGTTAACAAAAAAAATTTAGACTGTATGAGGTATTATTTCAATATATTTGTTATTTTGTATAAATAAATGAACAAATGGCATTGATCTAACACGTTTTTTGTTGCATAATAAATAGTAGACACGAGGAGTTGGTTATACAATATATGTTACTTACCCGACATTTCAAAGTATGAAATATCGGTCTATGAATAAAATCATTATAATTATTAGGAAATTTATTTAGAAAAAGCACTACTAAGATTTTCAATGGTAACTGAACTCAAGATCCGCTTGGCTGTAGCGAACCTAATAGTTAAGCAAGTAATGTATAATAAATGAGTTTCAGTTTCCTATCAACAACAAAATAAGTTTACGAGTACATATATTATTATTTCGGTACAAAACGTGTCTACTTAAGAAGTCCTCTAATGTGAAACGTGAAACTCTTTGACCATGTTCATTATTATTTCTCCTATTAATTAAATCGTGATTGATATTTTTTTTTGGGAAATACTCAGTAATTTGATGTGAATCGAATGAATAAAACAAATAGTATTAAAGCGGCTTTGAAGTGTGCATTTCCAAATGTTTAACGTATTTACATCTTGTACGGATTTGTTCAAATCTGCGCACAATTTAATGGTAATTGTTGCGAATAGTTGCAGGTTGTTTTCGACTATAGTACGACTTTGTATTTGTTTTCGCATCTTCGAACGGGCAAGCTCACTAAGATCAGCGTATTGGCAGCATTATAAATTCTTGATTCGTCGGTAAGGGAGGTGACTGGGGCCAACACTCTCGTAGAGTGGTCTTCAACTCTGCCGGTATTGTAGGTCTCCATGGTGGTAAACTCAACATCAGGTCAACCCGGCAGCTCGCTTGTCTCCTCATCATAAATAGTCCCCAAAATACTATTTAATCACGGCTGATGTTCGAAAAACGACTGACGCTCAGTTAAACTAGTCGTTTTCCGTCGCGGCCGGATGTAGCTACGCCGCGCCGGTTGCGACCGGTCACAGTCCCTGAAAGCCTGCGATAACGTATTCAGCGTTAGCTCCCGTTAATAAATAACGCTAACAACATTTGTTTGCGATCGGGCCGACTCATAGTTACTGATACTTCTATATAGATACGAAGCACGTGTAGGGGTTGATTGTTTCAAGTGTCGCCACGCTTTGTATCGGTGCGTAAAGTGGAGATATTACCTAGCACCGGCTTCTGAAGCCGGTCACGTCGCCCTCCACGCAAAGTGAAAGCATTGCTATCGCGTTTTCCCACGGAGTGAGGTAAACGGAGGCAACTTCTGAATGTATCTAAAATTCAATAGGTCTTATAAGCGTTGTAATTATGCTATTTCATAATCGTATTAGTTATTTTCGACGGTGATATAATTCGGGTTCTTATTATACGAAACAAGTATCGCGCAATAACGCATGCATTGCAATAATAATAATGTTCAAGCGTTGTTTCTATGGAGTAGTATAGTATGTATTGACATAGTAAATTATGCTAATGGCCTAAAATAAAAATCGCTTAGCTTAGTGGCTAGTGCGTCTGGACACGATATCCCTAAGGCGCAGGTTCGAGTCCTTGAAATTTTTGCGACTAATTTATCTACACATTTTAAGTTTGATCAGATAAATTATTAAGTTTTATCACTGATAGGAAATTTTCGAGTAGGTCAGATGTGCCCGAGGACACATTTTTCGTATTATATCTGTAAAATATGGGGTAAAATTTTGAAACGAGTCGCCTTCGTAGGGGCTCTGGGGGTGGGTCCGGGGATGGGGGAGGGGGCATGATGGTGAGTCCCCCCCACTTGTTTTTTTTCTTTATAGTTCCTCCCCGATTTTTCTCTATAGTTTAAATTTTTTTACTATTCGTATCTTCGAAAACACTGAAATTTATCAAAATTGCGTTCCATTTCACGTTTCGTAAGATTTTTAAATTAAAAAAAATTGCTAATTAAATTTTTTATGCGTCTCCGGCAGAAAAACATGCGTTGCTTGGTACGAACCACCTTAACCGCCCCAAACTTACAGTATACTTGAATTCGGGCGACTCGATTCAAAACCCAACCCAAAATATGCACTAAATAAATTTTAACATGATTTACTTGTTTTTCATCGATCAGTGCGGTCTATATTTTTCCAGTTTCTCTCTTTCGAGTATTTGAAGTTATTAATAATGAATTTTAATCCAAATGGAACGCATACGTATTCGAATCGTTCGATTTAATCTAATGCCACGCCACAACAATGGCCAGTCTCGGGCGTAATTACGCGTTTTCGCGCGTTTACGAGCGACGTCGGCGCTCGGCCGTCTATCTACACTAAAAGTTCCCATTTAAGCCGACAGAGTACGCTTTTGTACTGGCCGTTGCCATTAAATCCGACGCCACTCCGCGGCGCCGTAAACGTCACGGGGACGCGCGCGTTCAAGTTGCGCGGCTGGTCGCGCCGAACGCGCGCGTTTGCGTTCGCCGCGCGCACTGAAAGCCCTTCGCGGCCGCGGCCCAACCGGCCCGCCCGCGTCTCCACCGCCAGACGGTCGTAAACGGACGCGGCCGCGAGAGGAAAAAAAGAATCGAAAACAAATACCTCATGCTTATAATTATGTGTGCGGGGAATAAAACGCGCGTTTATTGCGGGCTCCGGGTTTATTCGTTTTACGACCCACCCTATATCGCATCGGATAGATGTCTGAGGGGCCTAGACGTCGTAAATAAGTATGAAATATGATAATTGAGAAATTCTTCGATATATTACGATTTGAACATTGATGATTTTCGCTTGACGTTTTGTGGGGCCATAACTCGGGGCCGTTCGCGGAATCCGCCGCTTCCCTCGGTCGAGTTCTTGAGACGCACCGGGACTGGGAGAGCTGATATTATGTTACGAGTCAGCCAAAGCAGCAAAGAAGGCACGCACGATGTGCATTGTTTTGGTAAGAGGGGTAAGAGCTTGTGGTCCATTTGGACGACTTGTATTGGTATACTGTATTAAAACTCATTTCCGATTGTCCAGCCGATTGATTTATGAAAAAAAGGCCTCACTTGTGAGAGTAATATTTTTCCGATACGCGTGCACACTGACACCGACATGATGAAGTTGGTTGCAACGCGACTAACTTCACGATATCGTCATGGCAACCGATACATTTTTTGACATTTACCTACAATTCCAACTATTATTTTTTTATCAGCCATTAATGTCCCACTGTTGGGCAAAGGCCTCCTTCCATTTTTTCCACTCCTTCCTTTTGTGGGCTATACCGGACCAATCCCTCTCAAATGCGTCCAGTTCGTCGCGCCATCTCCGTCTGGGCCTGCCGCGTGCCTTACATTTTGTAGAACTGATTCGGTGGTAGGTTTGGCCCAAAGTGTCAGGCATGCGGCAGACATAACCAGCCCATTTGTTATTTAAATTTTTTTAATTAAATTTAACCTTTTTATTAATTGTCATTTTATTAATTGTTTGTGTTATTTGTCTTTTATGCAAACTGTACGGGAGTACAGGGGCAGCGGATAAAATTTTTCGTTATTTTTGTTTTGTAAGTACACGCATAATTTTTCTTTTTGGTATCGAAGGAGTTAATAGCAATCTAAATAACCGTTTGTTTTAATTCCATTAGTCATTTGTAAACGGTATAATTGTCTATAAGTAGATAAGTGTACAGTTTATAAGTATGTTAAAAAATAGACACAGTTGACGTAAATAGCCAATGAATTATTGAAATGAAGCCTCTTGTCTTTATGTTCAGCGAACGCTGTTGCGTGGCCCTACCACCGAACACAGTTGACGTAAATAGCCAATGAATTATTGAAATGAAGCCTCTTGTCTTTATGTTCAGCTTTAATAATAACTTTCCCGCGAAAGCGACCATTTTATCGCTCCTATCGTACATTGAGGTTAGGATACAAGATTTTAATTAATCATCATCATGCGTGCTTTTCTCATTTGCAACATTAAGCCGTAGTTACGATAAGCTGTTGTAATTAAACTTTTATAGTCATGTTCGCAATTAGCGGGGGACACGGTGTATGATGTATGGCCGTGTTTTACTATCGAAGCAAATTACGTGTGACCCAATAATTGCGTGGATTGATTAAATTTTGCAAACGAAAACTGCCTTTGTGCCCATTTTAACAGCTGAACGCCTCTTAGATTTGAAGCAGAATGTAAAACTCGGAAGGTACTATTTTTGCTTTTAAAATACGTTAGCTATGATTACAATGATACATGGATCGCCTTACTTTAACTTCTTTAAGACTTTGATATTCAAGCACTGTATTCTATATATCTTATATGATTTGGAGAATTTTTTTTCACAACAGTTATGTCTCGTTTAAAAAAATTTTACTTTCAGTAACATTCAGTAACATAACGCTTATTATTTAGCATCGTCATCATAATAATTCTCCTTACCTTATCCCACCCTAGGAGGGGTCGGCACAACATATGAATCATTTTGAAAATAGTTTCGGCTAGGTTTTTTACTACCGGTCACCTGTCTGACTTCAACACTTATCTGTGGGCCCCACAAATATTCCCGTGTGAAAATCGAACCCACGACCCCGGACGCCGAAGGCAATAGCTTAGCATAAGTGTAAAAGACAGAGAAAAATAAAATAAAAAAAATATTAAAAACATGTCATCATTTTTATTTGATATATTAAAGGGTACGTAGAAATTATGTCATCTAAGCTTTTATATCGAATACCATGTTTTGTACATTCAATAACAAAGTGTCTGTGTTAAAGTTTAGGTGTGCAAACGAGGGATAATTGCTTTTTCGATTGTCGTGCTTGAAAACCAAAACTAACTAACTAGGTACTTGCTGTAAGTTTTGCTTTTCACTAACCAGAAAGCAAATAGAGTTTAAAAAAACGAGGAAAAACCGTGACACACACAACTCAAGGTAGAAAATTGGTCGAAAAACATCTAAAGAACACTGCATCGCTAAACATACTGAAAGGTAGCAATGGGAATTATCGGCTGTCGCGACCCGACCCCTTATTCACGGCAACTTGCCAACACAATGGTAGTACAGTTAAACTTAACGTCAACTTAATTGTGGCCCAATGGCTGCGTACAAAGGCTCTGCGTGCGAGCGACGCCGATAAGTTACCTTTAAGTTGCGTTCACGCTTTCTTGCGTCTAGCCTGACACTTTACTTTTTTTACGCGAATAGTAGAGTATGTTGAATAAAACTAACAAAAGAGCTTTTAATTAAAAATGTCGTAACTTCGAGAAAAAATTATCATCAGCTTGGGATAATCAAAGAAACTAAATCCAAGCCCACCGATAGTTTAATAATTTAAAACACTATACTGATCAAAATAAATAAATTGTCAAAAGTTGACGGTTGGCTGGGACTAACTATGAACATTTTGGACAAAAAACATTTCAGTTTGTTGTAAACGGTTCGAAACGACGGGAATCAAAAAATAAACGCGAAAATAATTCTTAAAATTAGTTTTATGTTATAAACATGATTTAAATAAAATACTAAGTGCAGTTACTAGCTGCAATTTTTTTTTTCAATATATGTAATAATTCTTTACATTTAAACGAATATAAAACATTGTTAAATAAAACTACTGTTTTTACGGATTTTATTACGTTAGTTTATTAGCAGAATTATGTTTCTCGTCGTTTAACGCAAACTACAAAAGTTAATAGTCTTTAAACTCGACGGCCAAAAATAACATTCACTGAACAGACCATTGGAGGCATCTCTCACGGAGTCCAGTGGAAAATAAAGGGTAGAAAAATAAAGTTACAAAGATTACTTGCCAGATGTTTGTGAAGCGAAAATGGTCTCTGCTTCCAAGGAAACAAGGTGTGAACTGCCCGAAGCGCCTCAAAGTAAAAATTAAATAAAACGCGATGAAATCCATATGTAACTAAGCTGATCCGCGACTTGGTCTGCGGTGCTATTATATTAACAAGCTATTTTTTTTTATAAAAATCGTTGTTTCTTAAAACTTTAATAACTAAGAATCATTTTTTTTTAGATAAAAGCCAAGTGCCTAAGTAATAAAACTTAGAAGGATTAACGAAGATAATGCGCGCACGACGTTAGACCTAGAATTTTATCTATACATATAGATAGGAATAATTTAATATCAAAACATTGTCTAAACAGAACGATTCAAAATCATAAAACATGAACTTAAAGTCACAGCAAACGAAAGCAAATTAAAGTTCGATTTTCAATAATGCATCCAATATCTTTAGAGGATGCATAGCGGCGGCTGCTTTACAATGCAAGAGCGGCCATCGAATTTTGATCGAATCGGACGAACTCAATTACCCTCCAAATAGGTTGCTACTGTTGCCGGCAGTGGGTCAGCCTGGATAATTGTGGTGGGACTGTCCGCACAAATCCCACAGCACCCGTCACGCGCACAGTCCAATGCTGATTTAAACTTCGGCGTCTAATGTTCAAATTCCATCTCCGCTCCGCTTCTTGGAGTCATCGTTGTTCGTGTTTAATGCGAATAGAATGCGAAGATGAATAGACGTTTTGAAATAACGGTACAGTGGAGTGGATGAGTGGCTTTCTAGGCTAGTCCTGGGTTCAAGTTAAGGCGTCATTCGTCTAAATCTTTGTTTGCAGGTTTCCCCAAGTAATTTTATGAAAGAAATTGATATATAGGTAAATAAATAAAATTATTTTAGCTAAACTTTTCCTATGTTGAATAACGAAAGACTGCCGGTTCAGAAGTGAGAAATACCGGAAAAGGTCATCCTTAGAAATAGTGTCTGTGTGTGTAAAAAGTTGTGTAGGCGTGTTTGTGTGTATGATTGTGGTAAAGACGAAACAGTTATGTGTGTATGAGTTGCGGAAGATAAAAACGGTGGTCCGTGCGTATCCTTCTATATGACGGGCGTAAAATTAAATGTATGGATATGTATATTTTTATTACAAAACTGGAAAATGTCTGATATATATAATGATAGGTGGTTGGATGGACTTCGAACTTCTTTATAAATTCCTCCGTGTTACATTTATGTTTTGTGGCACAAATCTCCCCATTCGTCATGTTTGAGTGTAAGTAAGCTCGGTGCAGAGGGCGTTAGATCTACTCGTATCTATGTGTGGTAAGTATCTCGTCGTATCTATCGGTGAAAAGAGCTGGATCAAAAGATAAACAAATCCATAATAAAAATAAATCAGTTAGGGTCAAAAGTTGTGACAGGTTTTTTGATTTTGTATCAACACTTGCGTTAACGCAGCGGTAGGTAAATTTAATACCACTCACTTAATTTTATTTCAAAGCGTATCATATGATAAATGTTATACATTTTAAGACTCGAAAGACTTTAAATTTTACGAGATCACAAATGTCTTAATTAAGTTTAGTGTTTTTATTATCTGTGTGGGTCGCTACCGCCGTTTTGATGTTTATGAGGATTATTTTGTTCACGAAATTGGGACGGTGTCACGACAATGTAAATTAGTGTCCATAATTAATGATAAGGGAGGAATTACATTTTAATTATGATTGTTTTTTGTTTTTGCCGCCTTCTGTTGTACAGTTTTTATATTCAATGAATCTGGAATTAATATCGAAGTACAATAAAAATTACGACGAGTTTGTCTGTATTTTCATTCTAAAATATAATATCACTCCGAATAATTCAAGACCCAACAAAGGAACAGATGTTAGAATACAGGTGAATTATGACCAACTTTATAGTAATAAAGTTGGTCGTAATAAAGAAAAATCCAACAATTTCAACGATTTTAAGAAGGCTGTGGTCATCTCGGTGGTTGGCGTGTTTGCATTTGCGAGTGCATCAGTGAATATTTCTTTTGCGTATTCCTTACAGAAATCATTCTCGCACAATTGTTCCCGGTGTACACCGACAAGGCCACTGATTGACTAGTGAATATTGATTTCAACGACGTACTCCACTTTCGGTTCACTCTAAGTTGTTCATTATATGAATAGTTCTGGAAGGT